TCTATATAAGTAGAGATGTTAATTTGCCTAAGGTTACTCAGCCAGGATATGGAGTTGGGGGAGGAACTCAGGTCTGTGTACTTCTGAAATGCCTACACTTTTGTGCTAAATAGAAGTTTATAACCTTGTTGTAATATGATACATTACTATGATTAGATATAAAGAGTTCATACATAATGTGAGCACTCCATTGTTAGAGAGGCAATGTCTCAACCCAAGTATATGTTCAGAAATTGAGGCAGACCAGTAGTATCTTTGCAGTTGCACCATACAGGTTATAAATAAGCTTTGCTTATGTTTGGACCCAGCTCTATCTATATCATGCAATTTATTATTAGGAACTGAACAGGAATGACTACAGTTAAAAATTCTGAATATGATTATGTTATTAAATTGCTACAGTAACTTCAACACTTATAATTATTCTTAATTACCTGTTTTAACCTTTGACTATAAGAAATTAATGGTTAGAATTAATTTGATCTCTGCTAAATTCATACCAAAAAACCTTACCTCAACCCATTATTTTTGTCATGTATAGGGGAAACACAGAATCCACTAAAATTAAGTGGGCTTGGATATTCTATTAAAAAGAATTAGAAATGAGGAAGACACTGGAATCTTCATTGCAGTGGAAATGTAGTTCCACCCTTATTTCATCTTTGTATGCACAAGTACATTACCTCTGCATTGTTTTATTTCTGGGCATTTTAGCAATCACTCAGATTAATGTGGGTAGAGATGGTGGTCAGGTGAGTGTGGATGTCAGTGTGGATGCCAACAAGAGCAGGTCTGAGCTTAGGGGAAATAACTGAAGTGCTAGGGATGAAGCTTGGAAAAGCATGGGGTCAAGGGTGTGTGCATATTTCACACATTGCTCAATCTTGAGGACCGCAAGCACGTTTAGTTAATCCAAATATATGTTAGACATGCCGAGAGGGTTTTTGTCTAATATTACATAACAAGATATTTTATTGACACTGAGTTTATAACTCTTTAAAACAAAATTAGAAGTGGACAAATAACAAAATGTTCATCCAAACAAAGGAAACGTGCCTGCCAAAATTGTATATTTATTACTAGGTTAAAGCCTATTTAGGTAGTTCAAATCAAATACAAGAGAACACATCATGTCATCATATCTATTTTTTTTTCACTGTTCAAATGAGGTATTCTGGCTTTACAATGTTGTAAGTTGAAGTAAGCAGTTTAATGAAGGTTACAAGAAAGAAGATGAGAGATATACGTGAACAATTATTTCCTAGGGGTAAAAAGCCAAGTGAAATGTATATGAATAAGATAAGCCACAGAATACGTTATAGAGTATCAAGCAGCATATATGCAAAATTTTAAATCTAACTTTAAAATTGGTATACTTTATTATTATTTTACTAAGCAAACAACATGCACCATAGTGTAAAACAAGCAATACAAGACAAAATATCATATCTATTCGAGCATTTATCAGGTTCACATATCATCTGAATTGACCAAGACTTATTTTCACCATGACAATTTCTGTATTTTTCTAATTGCTAATCAGTAAGGCTAAGTAGTACAGTTGGCATATACACACAAATAATGCGTACACAATCTGTATTTAATACGTATTATTATCTTGGAATATAAATTACTAAGTATAATAGCAGCAAGGTACCACTATTTCTAGAATGTTCTAAGACTTATCATATTGAGACTATAGATTCATGACTGAAGTGTTATTAGTGCTATAAACTAATAACAAATGTAAAATTGCAAATGTACAGAGCTACCAAAGGCTTATTTGACTTTTCAAAGTGCTGTGCTTCTTGTTGGGCTTAACATTTGTGAGCAAGCCCCTGCTATTTGAATTAGGTATTGGTCCCAAGTTTTGGGCTCTAATCAGGTATAGTTCTAATTTTTGGATGTAGGTTGAGTGGTAGAAGAATGCATTTGAAAAGGGTAAGAAGCAATAACCACTGTGACAAGAGCGTATTGGACATCACTGAACACATGTGCCTTTCACTGTAAGCTTTGCCAGCATCCTGTGGTTAACCATAGTCAGCAGATGATGGAATGGCTAGGAGACAAAGGGAGAAAGAGTAGTCTGTGAAGGAGACGGGAAGGAATGACACTATTGATAGGCTTGCCTCAACAAACTGTGAGCCTGAATTCCCCCCAAATATAAGGGGAATATTTATCTAAACTATTTGGCTTAGAAATGAGCTGGAAAAATCCTAAGAAGTTGTGTCGAAGAACAGAATAGAACACTACATCCACTGCAGGGTAGAAAGAGTTTTCTTGAATTATTTGTACAGTGTTTAAGACTGTGATTATTTTGGGAAAATCAATCCCAGTTTGTAGTGTATTCTTCCAGGTTAGGGCCTGTTCAGGGTTACAGTGCTGCTAGTGTCCCTGCTTCTAGAAGGAAGTAGGGAATCCAGAAGCTATGGAGATAATGCACTCCTTGGGGTAGTAACGAGCTGTGTGGTATCATTTGAAACTAAGGGTAAAGTTTCTAGCTAAATGACGTACCACTCAAACAGTTCACTTCTGTGTGTTCCAAGGCAGTGGTTGTGAGTGACAAAGCTATGGTGCTAAACACCAGGCAGCAGCCTGAGGCGGAGGGCCAGGATGTCCTGGAACATCAGTAGAACTCAGAAGACAACCATGTGCTATGCTGGGCAAAACAGACTTCCTGTCAGTTTGGATGTCTGACGCTGCCATTTCTATTCATTTCCTCTTGGCACGGCAAGCCTACTTAACGTGTACTGGGAAAACCCACCTCTCAAGGGCCCACATACATGTTGGCAGATTTCTTTGAGCTCTACATATTTCATTATATGGATCATCAAAGGTGCCACTCCTAGGTAAGTCTGTCATCTGCATCACAGTGTTAGGAAATAAGCCCAAGCAGCTTCTCTCCACAAGCCACAGAGGGAAGAATACCACATCCGCACGCCCCCTGAGTAGAAGGCATTTAATCTAATCATTAGGGATCTTATATTTTGGGGAGCTAGTCAACCAAGATTTGCAAACAGCACTCAAGTAGCAGACAGCATCTTTATTAAAGATGAGAGAACCAAGAAAGAGGTAGCATAGGGTCACTTGCTCAGGTAACAGAGCAGGGTCTCATGGCTGTGCCCCATTCGTTAGCCCACTCTGTTTCTTAGAATCTAACAGTAAAAATTTGAAATTAGCTAACAAGGAACACCACACAAACTTCAACGGTGGCATGAACTAAATCGGTAAGACGAACTGGTTTCATGCAGCCCTTTTACTTCCCAGGAAGAAGTAGTTTCATTTCCATCTGAATTTCTTCTGTTGCTTCACCTTTAGCTTTGTGCTAAGCCTGCTGGCTGGAAGGTAATAATGTCTCATTGGGAAGCACTTTCTCATGGCAAGATTCTGAAAACCAGAGCTAGAAAATCCTGACATGCCGTAAAACTCCATTTAGTTTCAGAATACTCTCTTACATTGTCTTCTTGAGAAGAAACATAATTTTTTTGGATGAATATGAAGTCATGTAAAAAGAACTAGGATTCTTAAGATGGGTCGTTACCTGGGCTCAGATCTTGTGCTTTTCTTTGAGTTTATAATCAAATCCTGGAACTGTGGGTTAAATGCTCTCAGTAATTCAGGGTTTAGATTCAGTGCGAAGGAAAATGACTAAACGTAATTACTATTGAGTTTAATACAGCAAATATAAAAACTTTTTTGTTTGGCATGACCCTCTTGGAGATCTGCCGCTAATTTAAAATGCAATCTTCAATAACTTCTCCCTCCCTTCCATTAAGTCCATCCTAACCTCTCTCTCCAATCCTTCTGTACCCATGAAATCATAGTGTTATCTGTAAAAGGTTCAAAGTTCAAGCCTTTAAACACTACCCTAACCTAACTAAACCCCTTGATGGCCCCCTTTGCCACAAAGCCATGGAAATGTGGTTGTGTGGGAAATGGTCCAGGAGCTCATGAATAACTCAGTTATATTTCAGAATAAATATGACCTCAAACTCTGTGAAACCGAAGTCCTCTTTGGCTCAATCAAGTAGCTTCTTAGCTGATCTTGAAGTTAGTTCTAAGCAAGCATGAGAGCTGAGAATAAGTGATGTGGTTGGGTCACTATTTTATTGTTGGTAGTTGTAGAATGAGTCATGAACCTAAAATCTATTTCCCTCTGTCCCACGTGCCTGAGTTCTCCTGTCTGTTCTCATGGTCAAGGAGAAGGCACACGTCCTTTACAAAATGTTAAACAACTTTTTCTTGAGGCAGAGGTTCTGCGAATGCAAGGGTGTTTATCAAGGGAAAATTGTAAATAATCCTTCTATCTCCCAGAACTCTTGTGCAGACTTTCAAATTGCAAGCAAGGCTGGCAGCTCCAAGTAGCATGAAGGAGCGAGCACCTGCATGCACCACACAGAGCAGGACTCCGTGCATGCAACCTTGGTACAGTTTTCTGGGCTTTGGTGTCATGCTTGATGACATTTATCACGCAAACACTGAGGTGCCCTTAAATGTTACAACCCAAGTGAAGTGCAACCATATATTTAAGAACTAAAGGACAAAATCATGTAAACATTTCATGGAACAGTCAGCAGCCCTAGAGTGTTACTGGCATCCTGTGTAGATGCTTCTCGAAACACCTGGCCTCCTAGCACCAAACACCTGGACAAAGCTGAGGCTCAAATAAAACAGAGAACAGTAATTCTCCTCTTGCCTCCTTCTCTCTTTGCCAAGTAACAAAGGGTAAAAAGTGGGGAAATGATCTAGCCCCTAGCAATTGATGCAGAATTAAAAACAAAAGCAAAATGAAATGCCAACAACCAAAATAAAACCCTGAGGGTGGACCAGGGATTTCAGAGCTTGTCATTCGGGTTTAGCATCAGAATTGAAGGAAAATTTAGAAGGCGACGAAACACACTTTCTTCCTCTTATCCAGAGGAGGCCCAACAGAATTTGACATTATCCCAGAAAACCCTTTAAGGAGGGGTTCAAATGCAAAAGAAGGAAAGTTCAACCAGATTTTCCTGGAGCCATTTCTATAATGACTTCCTCAAGGTGTGGAAGCTAAAAGCCAGGACTTACATTACTTTACAGAAAGTATAGGCTGGAAGACAAAGTTGGGGGTGTGCATGTGCTTTCAGTAGGTCATCTAGGACACCCCTCTCTGCAACGCAACATGTGAAATCCATCCATGGGCATCAAAGGACAGAAACAGGAAAGTTGGAAGAAGAGTCTGACAGTCATTATAAATGCATACATCCATTCGGGACTCCATGTTTATATTTCCTCCTTAAGAACCCATAAGCTGTCACTTCCTTAGGGATTCTCAGGTGGTGCAGAGGAGCATCAAAGTGCACACACTTCCATGCCTAGTTTTCTTTCTAGGTCCTTCCTTATGGACACTCTTCCGGAGGGTCTACCTATGAACTAACAGGGGCCTTCATGGCCCATTTCATCTTCATTCACGGGCATGGCTTGGTAGTGACTTCTCAGCTCTGGACCACATCCACACATGTACACTGTCCCCAGGGGGACTGGGGAGCCAGGACATGAACAGCAGAGTCAGGGGTCACTCATAGCCCTGAGATGCGTGTTCCTATTGAGGACAGAAAGACCATAGCAGCATCTGTCCTGGGTGAGAAAAGTTCGGTAAGCGCCTGTGTGAGTGCTCTTGATGTAAGAAGCACGGGAGATACTTAACTGATAAATAAATAAATAAATAAATAAATAAGTTGATCAAAACACGAGAGGGCTCTTTATAGATAAGCACCTCTTACCAATTAAAAAAAAATCCCCTCTTGAGTTTCAAAGCCCTCATGCAGTGGTGACTGGTAGGCTCCAAACAACCTGCAGGAAGCAGAACCATCGAGAGAAGGACTGGAAATGTTCCAACACTAGGTATTTCTCACTTGGTGACACACGAGTCATCCTAAATGTCCCCGAGGTAGTCTTGTTTACAAGGAGTTACAGAATGGCTCCAAACCCACTTGGAGCTTCCTCCTTTAATGCCATTGCACTTTCCCATGCATCCTGTGCCTGCTTCCATGGTGCCATGGATAAGGTGCCTTCCACTTAGCGTTGTGTCCCACAGCGCAGACCTGAGTCCTAGGCAGACAAGAATAAAATGCAATTCCAAGATCAGGCTTGAAGACCCCACTCCAAAGAGGACTTTGTCAAAATGATGCAGGTGCTCTACCTGGCAGCCATTCTGGAAAAAGCCGTAGAATTAAATAAAAGGTATCTGGCATGCAACGAACATGCACGTCTATCTCTTGTTGGGCCCCACGCTGAGAGGATCTATCATTGTTCCTTTCACTTTTAAGAAGGGGCCAAAAGAAATAGAAAGGAATCCAAGTTTCAAAACTGGGAAGCATATTTCTGATACTAAGGGCAGTATGCACTATTTATCTCAAGAATGAGGTGACCAGTTACCAGCATATGCTGCTCAAGAACAGCTTGTGTTTGAAACATCTTAGTGACAAATAAGTCCTACTCTCTCAGAAAAGGGATGACATCCAACAATCCTACAGAGGGGTGCTTGGCTCTTTCCCCCCTCAGAGCCCCAGGTTGGTGTTAGATCCACCCCAGAGGGTGGGCCACACCTGCAGTGAGCCAATCTTTTTCACCAGGAAGGTGTTTCTGGTTCAACTTTCTCACTGGCTCAAATACAAACCCCCGAAAGACAACAGGGAGCTGGGCAAATTAAGGGGACAGTCAATACCCGAATAGGTTCTAGAGACCCTATTTCTAAGCTCCTTTCACCACCATAAACCACTGGGGAGGTCCTGACCTCGGTCATATGAAACATGCTTTCTTCCCTTAGACTTAAGTTTTTTAAAAAGTCTCATTTGGGAAAAATGCAATTAATAGCCCTGTAATTTTACCGAAATGGCCCTGTGAAGAAGGGAGAAAAAAAGCCATCTTCCTCTTACTTCATCGTCACTGCCCAGGGGCCATCCTAACAGGACACCCTTCAGAACTCTACCCTGGATCAACAAATTCAACATTAAGGTTAAATAAAAAATTAAATCAGCATTTAGCCAGAGCTGTGTCCTCCTGTAAGAGGTCATTCAACTTGATGACAGTCGCAGCAAAGTCCACCAGGTCCACGAAGTCAGACGTGATGATGTTGACACCCATGGCTCCAGGCTTCTGAGTTTTCACCCAGTCCAGGATGGCAGGAAGATTCCTATACAGAGGGAAGTGTTGGAGGAAGAGAGTGATACAGTACAGCTTAGAAGGACTTCTCCAGACATGGACACAAAACATTTCCCTTAATATAACAAAAGTGCGTTAATAAGAGCACAGGCTTTTAGAGGTATTTCAATTTAAGCTATATATCTCCTTCAGGGATGAAGTGGTCTCTATTCCATTAGAAAATTACACTTCAGAGTTTCTTTGCTGGAAGAAGAGATTAGTTGCTTCAAGCATCAAAGAGATACCGTGTCAACAGGACCTTGAAAAGCTAAGATCAGGCCGAGGGCGGTGGCTTATGCGTGTGATCCCAGAACTCTAGGAGGCTAAGGTGGATGGATCACTTGAGATTAGCCTGGGAAACATGGTGAAACCCTGTCTCTACTAAGAGAACAAAAAATTAGCTGGGTGTGGTGGTGTATGCCTGCAGTTCCAGCTACTCAGGAGGCTGAGGCGGGGGAATCACTTGAGTCTGGGAGGTCGAGGCTGCGGTGAGCCCAGATGTGCACTCCAGTTTGGGTGACAGAGTGAGACTCTGTCTCAAAGGGAAGGAAGGAAGGAAGGGAAGGAGGGAAAGAAAGAAAAGAAAGAGAAAGAAAGAAAAAGGAAGGAAGGAAGGAAGGAAAAGAAAAGAAAAACTAAGATCAAGAGCCTCAGCTTTGATAGGCTCTTTAATTTTTTTATCATGAAAATATTCAAACATAGGGCAACATTGAAAGAAATTTTCAGGTAGAATATACCTACCACCTAGATTCTACCATTAACTATACTAATTTACTACATATCTATCCATCAATCTGTCACTATCCTTCCATCAATCCTTCTTGTATTTTTGACATATTCCAACTGCAAGCATCTATACACATTCCCTAAGTACTTCAGCATGTATATGATTAACTGGACTTCCATATCTGTTTTTAATCTGTTCTTCTTTTAACGTAAATTTACACTCAATAAAATGCACCAATCTTAAGGGTACACTTGCTGAGTTTTGACAAATATACATAATTCAAATTCATATCAAGGTCTAGAACATAACTGGTACTCCAGAAAGTTCCTGCAAGCCCCTTCCTCATCAATGACTGTCCCATCCTCCCAGAGGCAATAACTATACTGATTTTTTTTCTACTGTAGATTAGATTTGTCTGTTCTAAAACTTCATATAAGCCATGAAAAATGTATTCTTTCCTGTGAGTTTTCTTTCACTTGGCATAATTGTTCTGAAATTCATCCATGTTGCTGCATGTATCAGTGGTTTGTTGCCTTTTAAAATCAATGCATAGTATTCCATTGTATGGATATACTGCAGTTGGTTTATCCATTTTCCTCCACTGGCTGCAGGGACATGTGGGCTATTGCCAGTTTTTTGGATATTATGAGTAAAACTGTTATCTGTTCAATTCTTTTATTCATTTTCTCATTTTCGTTTTAAAAAAATTGTTGAGTTGTAGGAATTGTTGAGAGTAGAAATACTCATATATCCTGGATACTGGGCTTTTATCAGATGCATTTTGCAAATACTTTCTCCTAGCGTATAGCTTGTCTATCAGTTTTCTCAGTGACATATTTTTGTGAGTTGAATTCCTTAATTTTTAAGGATTCTAATTTGTCCATTTTTTTTCTTTTATGGCTTCTGTGATCTAAAAACCACTTCAGTCCACTCCTAATTTACAAACAGATCCACCTATGTTTTCTTCTAAGAGCTTTATGGTTTTTAGCTTTTAGGTTTAGCTCTAAGAATCATCTCAAATTAATTTTTGTACATGATATAAAGCAGGAGATCAAGGCTCACTTTTTTCATATGGATATACAGTTATTCAGTCACTAAGTGTGGCTTCTTAATAGACCAATACTTAATCAGTTGATGGTTTTTATTAATCAAAGTCTTCCTAGGTGACAGCCAGTTGTTCAGGGACATAAACGAATAATGGCTATTCAGTGTGATAATTTCTGCATTGGTAGTAAGTATAAACTACTACAGGTGGCATAGAGGAGAAAGCAATAAAGTGTACTCATAGTTTACATGACAGTAAAAACGGCTCACTACATACTCTGTAGGCTGAGAATGCTTTCAGAAAGACAGAAGAAACTAGGGCTTAAGTTTTGGTTAAAGAACTGGAGATTTTTTAGGAAGGATCTGGTCTAGGCCAAAAATGACAATATGCAAAGTTAACGATCTTAATTGGCCTCTGTCTCTTCTTTGGGGACCATTCCCTTTGGCTATCATCCTCTCTCTTCCTTCACTCCTTCGACGCTGCCAGCCCTTCTTTCAGCACACATCTGGACTTCTGTTTTCCAGACAACCTGTTCAGGCCTTGGTAGCATTTGGTCCTTCTCCTCTTTCTTTTTCTCTTACATGACAACCATAATCGGTCCTGGGTCTCCTCCCTCTCTCAGTGGGCTCTATAATCAGCCATGGGCTAAAACACGTATCATAAATCGATTTATATTTTTATATTACTAGCTGATGATGACTTAATAGACCACTCTCCCAGGAGTACTTCCATTCTGAATAGGGGCTCCTGAAGACTTAGTCATCTCAGTGTGACTTTAGCTGACTGAATGTCATGGTCCCTTTGCCTCTCTCTCTGTAAAATGGTGATAATAATGCTTCATAAAGATTTTTTGTGAATTAAACAAAAGAATACATCTAAAGTGTTTAGAAGAGTTCCTGTGATATAGTAAGTCTGGTTAAAAAAAAAAAAAGGGAAGGAATCATAACTGGAAGAGTGTGAGGTAGAAATATTTGGTGGCTGGGAGTAAGAAACTACACCTTAGAGAGGTCACATCCTGCTGCTTAGGTGACAAAATGCTGTGGTCTGGAAATGAGAAGCTAGAAATACAGACTTCCTTAAAGACAGACCAAGGATACACAGTGACCCACACCAAGGACACAGTAGGACTGGGCTGATAGATACAGGATTTCATTTTAAAAGCCTGAGTCAGTGTTGAAGTGGGAGGTACAGGTGCCCTCTGCTGGTCATCACAGGGAAATGAGCCTTGAAGGCTTGGGGCAACTCCAGCCACTGCAGCCAGGGCCTCATCTTGGAGGATCCCTGGAGCCTGAGCAGAGAAATGTTGGGAAAGGTAGGTATTGTGGTTTCTGGTGACAAAGAGCTCTGTGTCAGCTTCGGGTAGCATGTGTCAACTTCTCCAAGGCAAGGATCAAATAAACACAAGCAAGCGGAAATGGAGAACCCACTGAAAACAGGAGCTACTTGATTTTCCGAACTCTTGGTATTTACCAGGACAAGGGATCTGCAAAAGGCTGAACCTGATAGTGCTGACAGACCCCTGCGTTGACAGTTCCCATGGATGGAAGAACAGGAGGTTAAAAGCTTCCTGTTGACCTTGGAGCCCAGCTGGGAACAACGCTGATCTACAGTGTCTCTGGGTGTCTTTACGAATACGGATGGCATGTATATTTTGTGCCAGCCACTGTGGCTGGTATTTTCATGTTAAGACTACAGTCTGATGTGGTATTAATAATCCTATTTAACTGGTAAGAAAACCACAGCTCAGAGACTTCAGAAAACTTGTCCAAGGCCACCCTGTTGCTCAGGGACTGCATTGGTTTTCTAGGACTACCGTAACAAAGTACCACATATTGGTTGACTTAAACCACAGAAATGTATTTTCTCTTGTTTTAGAAGCTGGACATCCTGGATCAAAGTGTTGTCAGATGTTGTTTCTCCTGGGGCCCCTGTCCTTGGCCTGCAGACGGCCGCCTTCTCACCACATCCTCACATGGCCTTTGCTCTGTGCACACTTGTTTGTGATGTCTCTTTGTATGTCTAAATTTCCTTTTCTTTTAAGGATACCAGTTAGACTGGATTAGGGCCCAGCCTAACATCCTTGTTTGACTTAATTACCTCTTTAAAGGCCCTATCTGCAAATACAGCCACATTCTGAGGTAACTGGGAGTTGGGACTTCCATATGTGAACTTGGGGATGGCGGGGGTGGGACGGGCACAGCACAATGCACCCTGTAACAGGGAGCATGTCAGACCGCGCTCTCAAGCCTGCTGATTTCAGTCCCATGTTCCTGTCTAGAGTTCATGGATGCTAGAACTCTAGGCAGGAACTAGAGCTGCTCAGGCTTTGGCAAAGTGTTTTCATTTGATTTCAGTGGGAATGCCATGAACCTGAATTTCAGGTTTCTGTAAGTCTGGGAGAAACCAGCATGGAAATTAAGTCAAATGGGTATATTTCTTGTGGCTTCCTTCTAGGATGTGGAATCAAGATGAACAAGATCTTAGACCCAAAATTTAACTAAGAGTTAGGGGGTTAAATCCCTGCCAAGAAACCACCTCTACATTTGTAAGAAAATACACCCTGTCTTTTCCTTCTTGGTGTGAGCTGACAACCAGTGACCATGACCAGTTAGGACAGACCCTCTGGGTGTTGGTACACAGGGGAAGGTCCTACGTTTGTTCAGCAGCCCAGAGGAAATGACAGCCACACCCTGCACTGGCGTTTTGGAACAAACTCCACCAGAGCAGCATTTTCCTCCTTCAGTTGATGTGCAGGGATAGGAATCCATGATGCACACCTGTAATATTCTTGCAGCCAGCAGGGGGCGAGATGCCAAGGAAAGTATCTTTCTTAGCTTGGGGATATCGGCTTGCAAGGGCTCTGGGGCCCATTTTGCAAGGGCTCTGGCATAGTAGGATCCCTTGGCTTTGGGTGCATGCCAACACCATTATCTTTCATCAAAAAGGAAAGAGCCAATGTTTCACTTGCATCCAGATTAAATTTTTAGGAAACTACAGGTATGAAAAGCTTTGTGACAGTTGTAACCTGTACCAGTTGTAACCTGTGACATTACCAGATTCAGGTACTAATAAACAATTGCGGGCCTGTGGAGCAGAAAATAATGAGGCTGGGTGCAGTGGCTCATGCCTGTAATCCCAGCACTTTGAGAGGCCGAGGCAGGTGGATCACCTTAGGTAGGGCATTTGAGACCAGCCTGACCAATATGGAGAAACCCCATCTCTACTAAAAATACAAAATTAGCTGTGCGTGGTGGCATATGCTTGTAATCCCAGCTACTTGGGGGCTGAGGCAGGAGAATTGCTTGAACCTGGGAGGTGGAGGTTGTCGTGAGCTGAGATTGCGCCATTGCACTCCAGCCTGGGCAACAAGAGCAAAACTCCAGCAAGAAAGAAAGGAAGGGAGAGAGGAAGGGAGGAAGGGAGGGAGGGAAGGAGGGAGGAAGAAAGGAAGGAAGGAAGGAAGGAAGGAAGGAAGGAAGGAAGGAAGGAGGGGAGGAAGGAAGGAGAGCACAAAAATATGCAGTATCCAAGTCAGTGTCCAACGCTGAAAGGGCAGTGGTCTAACGATCAGAAGGCTGGAGTCTGAGAGGTATTAATGACTTTTATTGGCTAGCTGTATGGATTGGGGTCACTTAAGTCCCCTGAGTCTCATCTAAAGAGAGGATGATAATATGCTCTAGACAATGTGCCATCCTAGAGGCTGACTTAAGAATCAAATGAAATCCTCTGCAAAAAGGTATTTTATATTCAGAATATGGTATATAGATACAACTTACCATTCGTTTTAAATACTTCCTTTCCCTTATTAAGGTTGCTGTGTGCACAGAATTCTTTAGAGTGATATTTCACATTGCTTTATAGAAATGTTCATGCTAGTTTCTGCTGCTAGACTATGAGTTTCTTGGCAGCAGACAGTATATTATTCATCTTGAATCTTTGTACCTAGCTCCTCCTAGGTATTCAATGTTTGTTGAATGAATATATAAGTAATGTCGACCTACAAACATACCAGAGGCGTGAGGAACACAGTGTAGATACACAAACACATATGTTTTAAAATCATATAATTAAAAAAGAAAGTTCTAATTCTGGATCTTTCAAAGAGATATTGTACTGGTTTATAAGATTCACTTTTCCAAGTTCAGCATAATGAATTCATACAAGACTTAGTAGAACCACTCAGAAAGGACTTTCTGGTTTTGTCCATGGTTGACATAATCAGGGGCTCTCACCAAGAAGGAAAAATGTAGTCCTGCCATCTAAACTCCTGCTAAGTGAACTCCTGTTATCTGAACTCATGTTACCCAAACTCAGGACAAAATACATAGAAACATGTTTTTGGATGAATCTTTCATTACCTGAACTCTGCTCATCAACCTGGAACTCAGGGACCAAACTGTTTCTTGTAAATATCTTTTGTTACCCAAACATATTAGTTTCCTCAGCTTGGATTGCAAGGGATGCCCTGTTATCCACATGTATTTATGACATTCCTTTTATACATATACATATACACATATATGTGTACAGGTACATAGATACATACATACACATACCCACATGTATGTGCATACATACACACACACGAATAAACTATCCTTTTTCTTGAGAGCATCTATCACTCATTGGTGTCCAGGATAAAGAACACCATCTGTTACAAAACTACTGAAGCTTCTCCTACCTCATTGTACAGCCAGGCTTGATTCTGCCCTGAGAATGTATTTGAAACTACAGCATGGGCATGGTGGGTGGCATCCTAAGCTGGTGCTTCAGTGACTCATGGTCACCGTGGAAAGCAGAACAAACTCTTGAAGGGCCATTTCTGAATCCTTAGCACCTAGGACAGCGGTCTATATTTAATGCTTCTTAAATGAGTGCCTGGGCCGGCTGCGAGGCACAGGCAGGACCACATGTGGCCAGGTGCCAGGAGTGAACAGACATGGTGTTGGCTCAATGTGCTTTGCCTTACAGCAAAATTTAGAGAGTGCAGTATTTATGATATAATGTGTACTTATGAACAAAGTGTTTAGAGATCATTTGACTATAATCCACCTCAACTGCACGTTTTCTCAAATATAAAGGTTTTTTTATTTTGTTGTTTTTCTAAATCCTTGAACTACATGGTTTTATTGCTATTTACTCAGAATAGAATCAATATAAATGCTTTTTTAAAAAGCTTTCCTTGTGAGGTGGAAGCAAATTCTTACCTATGAACCAGCGTGTTCTTGAGGCCCCCAACCAAGCCCCGGGCGATGGTCTTCACTCTGGGGGTGAGGATCGCTTGGGAGACGTGGAAGGAGCCCCGTGGGACCCGCTCACTCAGAGTGGTCTCCAAGAAGAGGATTAGTTTGTGCACACTTGTGGTGTTTGCCCAGGGCGCCGGAATTTTCTTTCCTGGCCACAGGAAGGGGTATTGCTTGTAGAAGGGACAGTGGTAGAAAATAAGAACCTGAAATGTTCAAAATAGAAAAAGGAGAGCAATCCATTAAGAATGCCAAATGTCAACTCCTTTGTTTTACATGGATTGCTGGGAAAAAGGCAAGCAAATATAATCAAATGAGGAAAGTCAAGAACTGTTTATATTAATATATATTTTTAGGAAATCAGCAAAGATTTACAGAGCACTTGCCGTATGTCTGACTCAAAAATTCTTAACTTTTTTTTGGCATAAATACCTTTGGAATTATATTAAAATCATGGACCCCTTCTCAGCATTATATTTTAAATGAATGCATAAAATAAAATATACAGGATTATAAAGCAAATCTATGATATGATATGGAACTATAGCAATCAATTATTAAATAAGTTTGTAATCAGTGAATGTATGTGCTGCATGATAAATGCATTAAATAAAAATACTTTGTTACAAATCTAATAAGTCCTGTAGCTATGAGTTAGTGATGAGCATAAGTGGCATTTCAGATATCTGCAGTAACTGCAATGTGAGATGGACGCATCTAGGGAGATAAATAACAGGCAGGGCCAGGACTGCTGTGGGCCACCACCTGCCCTCGTAATCAATAGGCATACTAATTTTCAGGTCAATTGTAGTACAAATGAATATGTAATTTTTTCCCATCCAAATTTAAAGGCTTCTTAAATTCTACCCTCACATCCCCCTGGGGAAGCTTTGGACCTCAGGCTGAGAAATCTCCGGCTGAGCAGCAAGGGCTGTCTAGAAGTTATGTCTCCTATAATTACAAAATTGACAGCTTTTGGAGTTAAACAAAAACATTGAACTAATTTGTGGGTAAACAGACTTTCAGTCGTGTGTGCTGGCTCTGCCTGGAACTGCCCTTCCCAGGGGAGGGAGGAACGTGCCGCTGAGTCAGGGGAGACCTTGCAGAGGTGGCTGGCCTCCACGGGGACTGCTCAGGGTGGTGGTGATTTTGAAAATAATTAGCAAGCTACATCCGTAGTGTTAATTAGTTTCTGGGAGGCAGCTGTGGGATAGGAAACTGCTCTTCCCATCATCCCAATTCAGAGCTCTGCTGTGAAGGTTTCTAAAGTATTATTCATTTCCCTGTCCCAGGCATTGGCAGGAATGGTCTGCACATGCTCACGAGGCCTGGCCTGCCATCCTCGGACAGTGGGCCACAGAGGGGAATCCTCCCAGCACCCAAGAGCAAGAGCTCTGGATGTCAGCCTCGTTTCTGGTGTGCATTTAGCTTGTGACTAAGGTGCCTGACTAACTGCTCCCCAAGGCCCAGAGCTGGGGAGCACCAGGCTGGTTGCACTGAACTGGGTAATGGCTGTTCCTGTGGTTTTTAACGATTCTGAGTAATGTCTGACTGACTGCTAATGACATCTGCGGTAAACACATGTGTTAATGAGGTTAATCACAGGCTCATGGTAAGCAGATTGCTTGGGGAAGGGGGTAGGATTTCCTCATAGCAGTGTAATTGGCCAGGTGGTAAGGCTGGGTGCTGTGAGGAAAGGTATCCTGGGCAGCGGACCGTGGGAGAGGTGGGAGGCGGTGTGGCCCTGTGACGGGACCTGCCAGACATGCCCTGTGCCTGCTGCCTGCCCCTGGCCGCATGTCAGGGAATGAGAGGACTGTGCTGTTCTTTACTCTGCGTGGAGAAAGTGCGTAAAGCACAAAGTATCCAAAAGGGTCTTTATGCCTTTCTTCAAGAGGCTTCTTGATCGCAGTCTGACCCTAAAGGTTACAAGGAGAATTTCTGCTTATAGGGAGAGGCTGGCCTTGCAAACCAACTCCTACTTTATAGGGATCTGGGTGCAGCGACTCTCACTCAGGGCCTGTGTTTTGTATCTGCACCCCCCAACCTCTGTCTGCTGTGGTTTTCTCTGAAATACTCTCCCCTCTAGCTCAGTGGTTCATGTTCAGTTTTTCTCTTGAGACTCAGATTAAAAATCTCATTTCCTTTAAAAATGATTCCTTGATGGACCTCCTTATTCTGATCATTCTTTTACTTGGAGCCTCTGGGTTACAGACTTAATGCTACGTTCTACTTTTCAACTGATTTATTACAAACCCCTCTTCTTCATATAGTACAGAACATTTGAGGCACTTTCACCTTGAAATCGTCTATCAGTTGTTTCGTATTCCCTAGTGTTATGTACTCTTACCATTTTCATTAATTTCCTAAATACTTTAAGATGTAGATTACAACTTCTAACTCATTGTACCCTCAAACCCATAGCCACTAATGTGCAAATAAAATATATACCTATGGCTATGATGTAATTGCATGTTAAGTAAATGAAATTTGATTGAATGGTACTGTGCTTTTTCTACTAAATTGTAGTAATAAAATACATGGGGTGGGGGGTAGTGGGTGCCTCACTACATGTGAGGCAGCTCATTACATGAAGAATATTTAAAGTTTAACCCTGTCCCAAGAATAGTGCAGATGACTAGTGCCTCTGTTTGAAATCTCTTTATTTAACTTTTTTCTTTTTTTGAGATGGAGTTTCACTCTTGTCGCCCAGGCTGGAGTGCAAACAGCAGGATCTCAGCTCCCTGCAACCTCCGCCTCCTGGGTTCAAGCAATTCTCTTGTCTCAGCCTCCCAAGTTGTTGGGATTACAGGCACGTGCCACCATGCCCAGGTAATTTTTGTATTTTTAGTAGAGATGGGGTTTCACCATGTTGGCCAGGCTGCTTTTGAACTCCTGACCTCAGGATGATCTGCCTTGGCCTCCCAAAGTGTTGGGATTACAGGTGTGAGCCACTGTGCCCGGCGTGTTTAGCTTTTAAGAAGAGATGCAGTGGGGAAAACACGGGAAAGAAAACAGCACAGGGGGATCTTAGGATTTAAACTGATAATGCTCTCTCTTTTTCTGAAATATCATCACAGTCTCTTTCCTTCATAACCTTAGAAGCAATTGTAGTTGGATGATACAGCTAAATTAGCCCATGCTTTAATAACTATGATAGATCATTACTGTTAAAAATTCACTGCCCACATTATTCTTTATTCCTGAAGATACCTTTTACTCCTGCAGATTTGTAAGCAGTTTAGTATGCGATATGTCAACCCATCCCAGTACTAGCTGTTTATAAAATAATGTCTGTACTCAAATTTAACCTTACTGAATCCCAAAATTCAAAAGCTCTCCATCCCTTTCTCCCATTCTGCTAATTCTCTGAGATCTTCTGATAATAGGGGCTCATTAATAAAAGCAATATATTTCGTTAGCCTAATATAAAACACCGGTTGTGAAAAACGCCAATGTGCCTAAACAGCCCTCAGAGAGGATGAGAAGCTGTAGGAACTCTGGAAAGCCAGAAACCCTGTGACTGAATCCTGGTTCTCACTAACCAGGATTTAAAAATTTGCCCAGTTTTCTCTTGGATGAGTTGCTTAGTGTCTCCATGCCTCGGTTTCCTTATCTGTAAAATGGAGACGATAACAAAGTACCCATTTCGTGGTGTCACTGAGAGGGTCAGTTGAGTTAGTCCATGTACCTAGCTCATTGTAAAGGCCCAATAAACGTTAGTTGTTGTTACTATTCTCTCATATTATAAAAGAGAAACGCCACTGGGAAAAAGTCTCTCCAAGTTAGACATGAACAGATATAAACTTACTTTTATGAGATAGAGGTGTGATAAATATTTAGCAAAATATCACTTACAAAAGTCTCAGTGAATAAAATGGCTTAGACAGACTTTAACAGATACTAAGAGTTAACTCACAAAGCCTCTATGGTATCAAAGACATTTAGAACTTCTCAGGGTGTACAAAACAGCTTGGTATTTCCAGTTATCCAGGCCAAGCCTGGGAGTCATCCTTGAATCCTCACCTTCTTTCATATCCCAAATTGTATCCATTAGGAAACCTTGTTGGCTCTACCTTCTGACAGATGCAAAATCTGACCACTAACAGTCTCACTGGGTTCCTGACTTCTGCCTGATCCTCCTGCCCCGGTCTCTTCCCAGCACTGAAACCAGAGAGATCTCATTAAGACCTAAGTCAGGCCACAACATCCTATCCCAGAACTCTCCTCGCTTTGAGTGAAGGCTAGCTTCTTTACAGTGCCTTCCAGGCTCACATGATCACCAGTCATCTCTCTGACCTCCTGTCACTACTCTGTTGCCGCCTGCTCTCCAGCCACACCGGATGCTCCTTTTCTGCAAAGATGGCCAGGGACATTCCTGCTTTTGGGCCTCTGCACTGGCTGCTGCTTCTGTCCCCAGAAAGCCATGTGATTAATCCCTTCAAATGCCATTTTTTCAATGAAGGCTCTCCTGATCAACCTTCTCAACATTTCAGTCAACCCTCCAACCCACAGAATCCTGGTTCCCTCTTACCATGCTTGACCTTTTCTTTTTCCATAGCTCTTATCATTTTCCAACATTTTATGTATGTGTGTGTACATATATATGGGGAGAGAGAATAAATATACATATATGGATATATGTGTGTGAGTATATGCATGTGTGTGATACACAGACACATACACACACACATATGTATTTTTATTAGCTCTGTTATCTATGATCTATCTCCCTCCACCAGAATGACAGCTCCATTGGGGCAATGTATCTTTGTCTGTTTTATTTATTTACTGATTTCTCCCTATTCCTTAGATGGTTACTTGGCACATACCTGGTGTTTAACAAACATTTTCAAGTGGAAAACCTTTAACCTGTTTTTAATCAAAAGCTCCTCCTTACGTTTAAAAAAACTGCATCTTAAAGATGTTTTGGTTAATGCATCTGCTGAGCAAGTGAGTAACTCTGAATGAAAGGTACTTGCTTTTTTTTTTTTAATTTTTTTTTTTTTTTTTTTAGAGCATAAACTAAACCCTTTCCTGAAGCTCTTTTCTCCTACTGACATTCCTCTTCCTGAGCATGTCCCTCATGGCCCTAGGCTGGGAGGTTCTTCTCAATTTAAGCAGACTAAGGAATGCTCTCCCAGGTTGGAGCACCTTCAACAGGCTCTTCCTTCCTTAACGCTCTCTCCTTTTCTGACTCACATTCTTGTATAATATTAACACTCCTGAGATGAATCACTATGTTTCAGTCAGCTACTACTTTTCCTCATCAGTCAATACCTTGGCCAGGATTATCTGACATTGATTTGAAAGCAAGATGGAATAGACTATCCCTGAGGGGAACTAGAAGGGTAAAAGTGGACCTCAGAAAACAGAGAAAATGGTAATGACCTACTGGACCAAACTTTGCCTTGACTGGTTCTGGCCAGGCCACTAAAAGTCCATTAGATGTCAAACAGGTTGCTGGACAATCTTTAAGTATTTGGCAGGTGTTAGCCCTAGCCCTTGACGCTATTCTAGAGCCCAGGAACTAGTTTGCGTATGTACAATATCTCAAACAATCCACACCCTCTAGCCTAAGAGCCCTGGACTTAGTGATTTTACAGATGGCAATACAGGAAAAGCAGGAAGAGTTAAGTTCTTGCCGTTGGAAGCTTCTCTCTCCTTCCCTCCTACCTGGCACTTCTTCTCCCACAGAGTTCGCAGCGTCAAACTTTCCACACTGCAGGCTGAACACAGCTTGTTTCCAAAGGCCTCCTGGATCCGGAGAACCAGGCATTTGTGATGGGACTCATCCATGGCGTAGAAGTGGTTGAAATCCAGGAAGATAATCTCTTGGGGGTGCTGTGTAAGAAATGAGTCAATTTCCATCAGCCCATCCCAGACCTTGATGCCAAAAAGCCCATGGATGAAGTAGATCTCCTGGTCAGCATCCCCAGGTTTGGAAGACACACGCAGGTCAAAGTAGCGGATCCCAGCTTCCAGCTGTTCCCGAAATGTCAGGTTCTGAGTTACAGACCACTTCTTCATTAGCTTCTTCACCAAGGAGATCCTGGCGAGGCGTTTGATAGCTAGGGTTTGGTCAGGCCCCACTGGGGACTTTTCATCCACCCAGTAGCTGAATGAATCATGTGAGCCTGTACAAAGGAATAAAGGTAAGGAAAGCAGGTGAGACAGAAGCTGGGAAAAATAAGTCAATTGATAAGAAAACAAAAATAATTAAGGAGCAGTTACACACACAAAACTGCAAATGAATAGTAGCAAAATTTGCCAAGTTTGCAAGGAATAAAATAAACACACAAAAAAGTAATGTAATAGCTTGTTAAGCCTGGGATAATACTATAGTTTCCATAGATTTTGCTGATGTAAGGCAAATTAATAAATATTCTTTTGCAAAGCTATTTAGAATATGCTGAAAATAGGGGCTTTAAAATATTCATAGCATTTGATCTAGTAATTTCATTTCAGGAAAGCTATTCTAAGGAAATAAACTCTAACATTCAGGAAAACAAAGATGTCTGTCAAAGAATATTCATAATAGAGACAAACTGGAGATAATGCTTAAGTGTCTCTTATGGAAGAATGCTTCATTGTGGCATATCCACTTTATTCATGCCATCATAGAAACAAAGGGTATGAAAACACTGTGTCTGTCTCAACAATGCTGAGAAAGGCATTTAAATTCTAGGAAAGGCAGAATTTCAAGAAACCATATTTTCTTTCTTTTTATGTTTTTTAAAATATAAAAGAACTGTATATATTGTTTTACTATTGTAAAAGTCTGAGTCAGTAGGAATAATTTATTGACAAATCAGCTAACCATTTGGATGGGCTCAACATAGTTTAGTTAATATGTCCCTCTTTTCGAATTCATACCTTAATGAGCCAAAACTGTGATTAAATGGTCCAAATGCATTTTCTGTTCTTCTGTCTTAACAAAGGGGTAGGAGGAAATGTTTCGTAAATGTCTATTATGCCTGTTTGGTCTGTAGTGAAGGTTATGTCTGATGTTTCTTTGTTGATTTTCTTTCTAGATAATCTATCTGTCCAATGCTGAAAAAGTCTTGCTACTATTATTGTATTGGAGTCTACCTATTTAATTTGCACACTTTTAGTTTCTGTTTGTGTCGAATACTTTTTTCCATCCCTCACTTTCAGTCTATGTGTGCCTTTACAGGTGAAGTGAGTGTTTTTGTGGGCAGTATAAAGTTGTGTCTTTTTTTTTTTTTAAATTCATTCATCCAGTCCACATCTTTTAATTGGGGAATTTAAACCATTTACATTTAAGGCTATTATTGATAAATGAGTACTTAACTCCTGGTCATTTTGTTAATTATTTTCTAATGACCTTGTATATTCTTTGTTCCTTTCTTCTTCTTTTATTGTTTAACTTTACTATAAGAAAACATAGGGGAAATGCTTCAAGACACTGGTCTAGGCAAAGGTTTCATGGATAAAACTTCAAAAACACACACAACAAAAACAAAAATAGACAAATGGAACTATATTAAACTGGAAAGTGTCTACACTAGCAAAGGAAACAATCAAGCTTGAAAAGGCAACTTGTAGAATGAGAGAAAATATTTACAAATTATTCATCTTACAAAGGATGAATATCCAGAATATACAAGGAATTTAAACAACTCACCAGCAAAAAAACCATAAATAATCCAATTAAAAAGAGAACAAAATAATTAAATAGGCATTTCTCAAAAAGAAAACACACAGATGGCCATGGTAGCTCATGCCTGTGATCCCAGTACTTCTGAGAGTGCTGGAGGCTGAGGCCAGTGGATTACTTAAGTCCAGAAGTTTGAGACCAGCCTAGGCAACATGGTGAAATCCTATCTCTATAAAAAACACAAAAAAAGTAGCCAGGAGTGGTGGTGCACACCTGTAGTCCCAGCTACTCAGGAGGCTGAGGTGGGAGGATTGCTTGAGCCCAGGAGGTTGAGGCTGAAATGAACGATCATTGGACCACTACACTCTAGCCTGGGTCAGAGTAAGACCCTGTCTCAAGAAAAAAAAAAAAAGAACATATAGCCAGCAAACATAAGAAGCAATGCTCCATGTCACTAATCATCAAGAAAATGCAAATAAAAACCACAATGAGGTATCATCCCTGCCCAGTTAGAATGGCTGTTATAAAAAAAAGACAAAAAATAATAAATGCTGGTGAAGATGTGGAGATGTATGTAACTGTTGGTGGAAATATCAATTAGTACAGTCACTAGGGAGGACAGTATGGAGGTTGCTGAAAAAACTAAATGCAAACCTACCATGTAATCCAGCAACCCCATTAATAGGTTTTAAACAAAGGAAAGAAAATCTCCATATCAAAAGGATACCTGCACCCCCATGTTTACTGAAGCACCATTCACAATAGTGAAGATATGAAATCAACCTAAATAACCCTTAACCAATGAATGGATTAAAAATGTGGCATAAAGACACACTGGAATACTATTCATCCATAAAAAAGAATGATATCCTGCCATTCACAGCAACATTAATAAGCCTGAGGACATTATGCTCAGCAAAGTAAGTCAGGCACAGAAAGATAAATATTACATATTGTCACTCATATGTGAGAACTCAAAAAACCTTTGGAGTTGATGGAAATAGAGAGTAGAACTGTGAGTATTAGTGACTGGGAAGGGTAACAGAGAGGGTAGGATAGAGAGGTTGGTTAGCAGAAACAAAATTATGCTAGGACCAGGCATGGTGGTTCATGCCTATAATCCCAGAACTTTGGGAGGCTGAGGCAGGCAGATCACTTCAGGTCAGGAGTTCAAGACTAGCCTGGCCAATATGATGAAACCCTGTCTCTACCTGAAAAAAAAAATACAAAAATTAGCCAGGTGTCATGGTACATGCCTGTGGTCCCAGCTGCTTGGGAGGCTGAGGAGCGGAGCACTGCTTGAACCTGGGAGGCAGAGGTTGCAGTGAGCTGAGATTGCACTAGTACACTCCAGCCTGGTTGACAGCTAGACTCTGTCTCAAAAAAAAAAAAAAAAAAAATGCTAGATAGGAGGAATGAAGTCTGCCGTTTTGCAGCACTGTAGGATGAAGATGGTTAACTATGATTTATTGTATAATTTCAAAGAGTTAGAAGAGAAGATTTTGAGTGTTCACAACACAAAGAAGTGATAAATGTTTGAGGTTATACCAATTACACTAACTTGATCATTATACATTGTATACACATATTGAAATATCACCCTGTATCTCATAAGTATGTGCAACTATCACTGTCAACTAAAAATAAAAGGGTCGGGGGCGGGGTGAGGAAGAAAGCATGAATCCTCCTAGACGCAGATATCTTTTTATGAAATATGAGTGACCACCATAGGCCATTTTAATTATAGTGAGAAAATATTTCAATAGTAACTATTTCTAGATGAAAATCATCTTGCAAATGTCTTTCATTTTGGTTATTGGTTCTATCCAGTGTCAACCATTCTTATGTCTATTATGCACTAACTCATGCAGAAGCTAATTTGGTTAGTGCTGTGACTGGCTCTGAGGTGAGGGACTCGACAGAGGTGGCTTCACTTTGCAAGTAAAATCTAGAAGGAAAATGCCTTTGCTTCAGCACTACTAACCGGTTCTTAACTACCCCCCATATTACAACCAAAATGCTTGTATTCACACTAGTTCATTGTCATCTGTTGTCCATTTTACTAAATTTTAGAGGAGGTATTTCACACATAATACAAAATTTTATAAGACACTATCATTTTATGTTATGTTATTTCAATTTTCTTGAAAACAAATCATTATGTGATGACTTCAGTGTTTTGTTTCCTAAGAAATCAAGAAAAAAACAAACAAACAAAAAAAACAACAAAAAACAACAAACAATGCTTTACTTTTATGTAGCATTTGGAACACAGAGGCTATCCAGTAAGTATTAAGAATAGACCTATTTATTCATCCTTAGGCAAATTGAATTTTGCAAGTGAGAAAATTACCAGCATATTTCAGGTAAGAAAAATTGCCATTACTAATAGAAATGTGGAACAAGTCCCCCTGGATTTTCCACATTGGTTATCTCTGTTAATGAGACTCCCTGGATACCTGCCTAATGTTCTGCTTCCTTTGCCTATACAGAAACAGGAAATTTTTATACCTCCTCATTGAGAGATTTATTATGAATACATTAGATATAGATGGTGAATAGTCCTCTCTCCTTTTTAAATTGCATGAACAGCCCAGCTGTTCAGGATTGAGTGTATAATATAGTGTGAAGCACATACTGAACTTAATTCTTCCCTGGGCATTAGGGAATAGCCATTATCCAAGCGTGGAGGAGAGACAAATCCCCTCTGGTGTTCTCTTGTTGGTGTTGAGCCCAGTTTCATCTCCAGAGGGAGATGTGCTAACAACCTCTAGCACTCTTCTCTGTGTCTGAGGACTGTGCACAAATGTGACAGCAATGGGACCCCAGGGATCATTTTGAATACACAGGGATATACATGGTACCCAGCCCATCCCACAGAAGAGGGAGAGCATGTATATTCCCTAGGAACAGAGTCTCTTTTTACCTCTTTGTTCTCTTTTCATTTCTCCAGTCCCACTTTATGCTTTCTGACATCCTCAGCACCATCCCTGCCTCCCTCCAAACCCCTTTACAGGACAGGACAGAACAATGAAGCAGATTGCTGAATGTTTTATAGCACTTGCCCTAGATAGGCCTATGGCATTCAAAGCCAACTGTCACATATTAACCACTATCAATATATTTCCTGTTCTACTTATTTCTTTTCCAGAAAGCTTTTGTGTCATATGGGGTGGGTGAAATAATATTTAAGTGCCTACATGCATTAAATTATTTCTTTTTAGAAAAACAGGCTAAAAATGTCCCCCTTTCCTGCACATTACAATATTTATAAACCATGTAATCTGCAAATAGTGCTTACAAAGAGAAAATCCTAATATTTTATAATCCAAATTCACTATCAAAGTTTGTTCCCCTATTACTCCCCTACAACTCATAGAAAGTATTTTACTCTTTAAAGACAGTGATTCTTCCCCTTCTGTCCTGGAATGTATGAATAAAATTTAAGCATTTCTTCAGAAAAGGAAGAAAATACCTGGTGCCACTGGTCCTTGCCCTATTCCCTAAGAGAATTGC